GGATTATTATTATTTTGAAAGGGAGGGTGAGGAGAGGGGGCTGACACTGACTATAAAGGCAGAGCTCCCTGGAGCAGCCAGCACTTCCCCGTCACCATGAGCACTCCCCGGGCCTGACAGCCCCAGCCTGTCCCACTGTCGCCGGCTGAAGCTGCCCTGGAGTGTGGCTGTGTGTCCGAAGCTCGGGTTGGGATGGTGTGAGCCCGGAGCCGCTCCTCACCCTCCCAGCACCCTCACCGGCTCTGGCAGGAGCCGAGCCCGCCAGCCGCTTGGATGATTTGATTCCTCCCCTGTCCGACACCACTCCTGCCCAGATGCAGTGGATAATATTCATGTTGCTGTTATTCATCAGCTCCATGGAAATGCTCACGCAGAACCGGTGGAAGAAGCAAGGTACGGTGTGCGCAGCGCTCTCGGCTCCTGCGGGGTGGCTTTGGGACACCGGGCTGCCTGTGCTGCCAGGATGGAGCTGTGAACCAGGGCTGGAGGTGCCAGCCACCAGCCTGCCCCCAGCCCCTCACCCTGAGCCCTTTGGGGACTGTCTGTGTCCCCCCTGGGTGAGTGACACGGGGCTGGCTTGCAGTGCAGGAAGATGCAGAGCGCAGCCCCATAGCCCTGCCTGCCCGGTGCCAGCCCTGCCTTTGGGGACAAGGGACACTGGCTGGCACTGGGACCAGCTCTGCAAATCCCAGCAGAGCCAGACACAGTGGGGATAGCACAAAATGGGCTGATTTCCTGATATTTCCTTTCCCTGCATGACACACTAAGTGCCTCAGGAGTAAAACCTCCTGGAGGGATGCTCAGAGGCACGGCAGGCACTGCCTGTCCCCTGTCCCATCCTTTCCTCAGGAAGAGGCACCAGCTGAGCCCCTGCTCAGTGCCTGGGCAAGGGCATGGTGTGCTGGGGCTGTGCCAAGGTATGTGCCCCCTCCATTGGGCACTGGCTCATGTCCCCTCACCGGGCAGTGCCAGGCAGTGCCAGCTGGCTGTGTGCAGTGGGCTCAGGGCTGGTTCTCAGCTCTGTGCCAGGAATGCCTTGGTTTTGGGGCCAACACGTGCCAGGGTAGGGCCAGGACCTGCCAGAACCAGGGCTCTCAGGGCTGGAGCCTGGAGAGCTTCCCTTGAAGCTGTTCCATGTTAAAGGCATGCAGAGGCAGTAGGTGTGGGTGATGATGTGGGTGGCCAGGCTGGGGGCCAAAACACCCCTGATGGGAAACAGCCAAGCACCACGAGGGGCTCCAGCTACCACTGCTTGATGCTGGGTAATGCAATGCTCCAAAGGCCTCAGGTCTTGGCAGCCTGGGGGTCTGGCTGTGGCTTCATACCCCAGACATGTTATATACCCTGGGATAACCTGCACAGAAAAGCCAGCACAGGGTCCAGGAGCCACGAAAGATGCTGGAACACCCCACAGCCTCCCTACTGCCACTGGGAGCTCTGGTCTGGGCAGTCCAGTGCCCCAGGGACTCGTGGTTCCCTGCAGGACTGGGCACAGGGTGGGCAGAGATGGGGGGTGTCACACCCATGCCCAGCAAACTCAGGTACCCACTGTGCCCCATGCCCAGTGCCCATCCCAGCTCAGCCCTGCCCTCTGCCATCACCACTGGACAGGAGGAGATGAGCCCCTATTGTTCCTAATCCCCAAGCCCATGGTTTTGGAGTGAGCCACATTCTGGTGTTCTCTGTGCTGGCTCCCAGTGTCACCCTTGGTGGCAGAGACGTGTGTGCCATGCCAGCAGCACTGTGGAGTGGAGGAGGATCCCCCACTTCTCCCAGCTCCATACCATGGGATTATTTCCAAAGCCAGTGAGAGGAAGGAGACCCCAGAGCCCATCCAGGGTTCCCCACCTTCTTTGGCCTGGCTGGAGGTGGAAGGAGAGCAGCAAAAAACCCCTAAATATCAAAAAGAATTAGGGAAGGGAAAGAGGCTCGTAAATCCACGGGTCTCCAGGGAAGCCACTCCAGCTGCAGCCAGGAACACAAATGTTGTCAGCGTTTCGTAAATATGTAACGGAGACCATAACAACTTAATGGATCCAAGGTGCTTCGTTAGTGCTCCCAGCAGATGCAGCTCTAATGAGGGCTCCTGGCAGTGCTGCCATCCAGACAGGGTGTCCCAGAGAAGGGACTGGCATGAGCCAGCTTGGGGACAGCTGATGGCACCACAGCACCGCGGAGTGGCTCATGCCAGAGACCAGCATGAGGGGGCTGTGAGGCATTGCCCGCCATCATCGTCTGACAGAACCCTCTGCCAGCATCCCCCGGCCTCCCAGCACCTCTGCCCCAGCCCCACAGCCGTGGGACCCTTCTGGTGCAGCTCCTGGGGTCAGAGGGACCAGTGCCAGGCACTGCTCCGAGGGCTGTCTATGTCTGTGCTGCAGCTGGAGGAGGGATACAGGCCATGGTCTCCAACTGGTCCCCAGTGCCACGGCAGGTGGCTCGGGCTTGTAGCAACCTTGTGTAGTGGAAGGTGTCCCTGCCCATGGCAGGGGGCTTAAGATGGTCGTGAAGGTATCTCTTCCAACCCAAACCATCCTGTGATTCTGTGGTTCTGTAGAGCCCAGGTCCCAAACATGCTGTACCAGGGCTTCTAGCACTGTCAGGCTGTAGTGCCAGAGCCAAACAAACAGCTCCCAGCAGAGGGGCATGGTGAAGGTGTTGGATGCCTGCATGCAGGAGTTCAGTGCTCCCTTTTGTGGCTTTTCTGTCAGAAAAAGAGAGCAGGAGCAGTTGGCGGTGTCTCTGAGGCCTGGTGGATGTTGGCACCCTGTCCTTGGGAACAGATGTCACCCACCCTGGGGTCAGTCACCCTCCCACAGCCTGGGAGTGCAGCTCAGGCAGCCAGGGAGGCAGCAGAGCCTCTTGAGCAAACAGACAGATTCTTTTCTCAGCTCCTCTTGAGCGCATCCAAAATGCCCTTTGTCCTCTGACACTCAAGAGGCATCAACTGATTAATCCAGGTCAGATCATGTTTCTACCCGCTGACCCAGTGGTTGTTCCACTTCCACGGGACGGGCAAGGCTGGCTTGGGGTGTGGCTCAGGCTGTCACCCATGGGCAGTGCTGGGCACAGGCAAACCCTCAGTCTGGATCTTGGAGTGCTGGAGGCCATCAGCGCTGAGCCAGCTGGGAGCGATGGCTCCGTGTGTCCCTTGGCTGCAGCCTGGACAGAGGTGGTGATTTGAGGAGCAGAGAGAGGTGGGGTGGCATTTGCAGGGAGACAGGACAGCGCTGTCCCCCTCGTGTGTCAGTGAGAGGCCACGGGGCTGGGCCCCCCTCAGCACCTGTGTCACAGCCCCTTTCCTCCGTTTGTCCTCTCCCGCAGCGAGTGCTGGCCTGCTGGAGAACTGCACGGGCTGCGTCCTGTGCTCTGAGGACAATGGCTGCATCACCTGCCACCACCGGCTCTTCCTGCTCATCTGGAGGGACGGCATCCGCCAGTACGGGATGTGCGTCCACACCTGTCCCCCGGGCTACTTCGGTGTGCGGGGTCTGGAGGTCAACAGATGCACAAGTACGTCCCGATCCAGCCGGGGTTCCCCTGCTCCCCTCGGCACCCTGCGGGTCCCAGTGCTGCGGGAAGGGCAGTGGCTTCATTTCCCACGGCATTCCTGGTGGCACTGGATCCAGGGGCGGCCGGGTTGGGGGGCTTCGTCTTCTTTTCCCCTGCTCAGAGCCGCAGCCCGGAGCCCGCAGGTTTGGGGTGCCCGGTGGGTGCCGGGGGTGCCCCGGGCGGTCCCGCTGACCGGCCGTCCCTCCCGGCAGAGTGCAGGTCGCCCAGCTGCGAGAGCTGCTTCAGCAGAGACTTCTGCATGAAGTGCAAGGACAAGTTTTACCTGTACAAGGGCCAGTGCTTCCGGCAGTGTCCCCCCGGCACCGCGGCACAGCCCGGCACCCGCGAGTGCCAAGGTAAGCAGCCTTGCCCGCCGTGCCCGGGGACGTGCCGGGCTCCGAGGGGTCACCGATCCATCCCTGCCGTGCCTGTCCCTGCAGAGACGTGCGAGCCGGGCCCGTGGAGCGAGTGGAGCGCCTGCACCCACGAGAGCCGCACCTGCGGCTGCAAGTGGGGAGTGGAGACGCGGGTGCGGGAGGTGCCCGACGCTGCCCGGGAGGAAGGGACCGCCTGCCCCGCGCTGCTGGAGACCAGGAGGTGCCGCATGAAGAAGCACTGCCCCGGAGGTGAGCACCGCGCCGCCGGGGCTGGGGACAGCTCCGCGTCCCTCCAGAGTGAGCCCGAGGGGCGCTGCAGGAGGACGATGGCAGCAGGGGTCTGGCCGTAGCCGGCGAACCATGCTGTCATCTCCTAAGCATTTTGAAACTCTGGGTAAAGCCGTCATCTCAGGCACATGTGCTGAGCAGCCCTACGGCTGGCTGCTCCCACCTGGCAGTCCCCGGGACTGCCTGGGACGAGCCATTGTCCCCTTCCATGCTGGACCGGGCTGGGCTGGGCACTGGCACGAACCGCCGTGGCGGGATGAGGCTGCCAAGCTCCAGCTCCCATCCTGCCACGACGTGAAGGGAGGCTTTCTGTACTGCAGCTGTGGGTAAGGAGGGCTGAGACACACAGGGGAAGTTCCTGCAAAAACCTCTGAGCTCCCTAAAAGCTGGAATGCTCGTGGAGCAGGAGGGTATCACCCAGAGGATTTCTGATGGCCAAAGATTTGGGAGACACCCCAGAGCACTGTGCCCTTCCATGGCTCATCTGGCCAGATGTTCACTCATGCTTCTGCACTTCCCCCACCTCATTGCCAGGCTGGGGGCTCCCTGGCTCAGGGATCCCCCCACCTTTCCCACACCAGACCGGCTGCAGGGTCTGTCCGGGCGGTGCGTGCACGGGTGCAGGGCTGGCGCTGGGAACCAGGACGGGGCTGATGTCATTTTTGGATGCAGGCGCCTGGACTGGAGCTACCCTAATAAATCTCCACTTAATAACTGGCAGAAAGGGGGATGCATGAGATACCAAAGTGAAGTGCCTGGCAGCAGATCTGAGCCAGCCAGGGTTGCGGTTCCGAGCTGCGGGATCGCTGAGCCCTGGGATGAGCTGGCCGGCACCGCCAGCGTGGCGGGGATCAGGGAGGACAGCACCGGGGGGGGAGAGAAAAAGGATCAGGAAGGGGAGGGGGGCAGCAGCAGAGGACGTGCGTGCTGGGCGAGGGCCACGGAGCCAGGAGAGAGGTTTCATCCCAGCAGCATCAATCATAAGTAATATTTTCCTGCTGACAGTGCAGAGGAGCTGATTCCCTTCCCCACCCAGGTCTCAGCTCACGTCTTTGGGGTGCCAGGTGGCTTCGATTTTGAGGATGTTCTCCTCCCTGCTGGTGTGTGGCAGCTCCAGACCCGCAGAGCTGGTGACAGTTTGATGCAAGAAATTTAGTGTGGGAGGACAGGCTGCTCTGGAGCACTGTGTCCTGGAGCACTGTGCCCGTGTCCTGCCCTGCCTGGCACAGAGTGCATCCCACTGGCAGGAAGTGCTGTGCCTGTCTTTCAGGGACACCTCGTCTTGTGAAGTTACTGGCACCTCAGAAAAATGCTTGGCCTTCTGCCTCTGCCTGTGCTTCTGCAAGCTGGAAGCCGTGGGGCTACAGTGGTGGGCCAGGAACTGGCAGGACTCTACTCTTGAGGCTGCTGTCTGGGATCAGCTTCAGAGACAGGCCTGTCCCCTGCCCAGCAGAAGGAATCCCATGAGTGCCCCCCAGGCAACCCCCTCAGGAGGGAGCAGCCCCTCCATGTCCCCCTCTCCTGGGCAGGCTGTTTGCAGTCCCTGCCACGGCAGAGCATGTCTCTGCCCTCGCTCCCAGGCTCCTGCCCGCCTGGCCAAGTGCTGGGTTATGGGATCCAGATGCTGGAGGAGGACGAGGAGTTCACTTGATGCATCTGAGGCACCCCCAGCCCAGACGAGCCAGGGCAGGCGGCCGAACCCGACCGTGTGATGAGAGATTTGTGCCACCACTTCTGAGCCATTCAGGCGGCTGGAAGGGAAAAGCCGCCGCGCTTGGCCGTGGCACAAACCCCTCGCGCTGCTGTAAATCTGCCTTGGGTGTCTGTCCCGCTCTCCAGACGCTTGGCGTGCGTGCTGTGCCCTCTCCTTTGTGGGTGGCAGCTGTCTGGAGATCAGAGCTGAGAAACAGGGCTTCAGAGCCAGCCAGGACAAGAACTGGAGCCCTCAGAAGGGATGGGGACAGCAGGGCTGGCACCCACAGCAGCAAGGACAGTCGTGGTTCCTTGCGCCCCTCACAACACTGAGCTGGAGTGGGAGCAGGGGGCAAGGACCCACAAAGCTGCCCAGTTTTTAGTGCAACCATTCTGATCCGTAGCGTGGACTTCCCCTCCCAGTGGAGCCCATGGCACAGCAGGTTTTATCCTGAATCCCTGTTTTTTTGGTGTCTCAGCCAGCTGGAGGGTGTGTGGCAGCTTCTTGGGGTGAGCAAAGGTTTGTGCCCCAACAGCCTGCCCCTGGAAAGCTGGCACAGGGTTGACCTGGGATGCAGCCAGGCTCCACCTGGTTGTGCCACTAGGATGGGGACCATCCACACATGGAGGGCATCCACAGGGAGAGAGAATTAGCAGCTCTGCAAGGATGCACCCCAAAGCCACCTTGCTCCCCAGCATGCCCAAATCCCCCCAGGGCTGCCTGGGTCCCATGGTGGAGGGCAGGTTCCCCATCAGGGCAGAGCTGAGCACAGCTGTGCCATGGCTGTGGGGTGTGGGTGCAGCCACTGCCCCCCTCCAGCACCCACAGTCCTTGCTCAGGGAGGAGCTGGGCTTTCTCCAGGCAGCTTCCACTTGGGCTGAGCTGCCCCACCCCATTCCTGGGGATTTGGGGGTACCAGGACTGAGAGTCCAGCCATGGCAGATGTGGGGACAACACGCCAGTGTCCCTGTGCCCATGCCATCAGCACACCCAGACCCCCACAGACCCACACTGCTGTTTCATACCTGGGAGGGGGCTCTGGGATCCCCAAAATCAGAACCTGGGTCCAGCACTAACACCTTGAGGGAGGATGTGGGATCAGCATCCCATGGATGGGGTTCAGGTCAGGCCATGTTGCCTGGCCAACAAGCGAGCGCTCCTTTTCTTCTCCTATTTCTGTTGCAGAGAAAACCGAACCCAAAAACAAAGGCAAAAAGCGACAGAAGAAGCCGAAGACAGAGAGGCACACGGGCACCTAGCGGGCACCAGCACGGGAGCTGGGGCACCATGGCAGGAGCTCCCAGCCAACTCCTGCCACGGTGCTCCAGCCACATCACCCCTGGTTTTCCATCCACAGGCGGAAAAAAGGAAAAAAATTGCACAATTTTCTCTGCCCCCCCATCCCCCTTTTCTTTTGAGACAATTTATGGCCTGTAAAACATTTCCTTTTCAGAAAATCTAATTTGCAATGTCCAAAGCAAAGCCCTAGGGCTTGGGGAGGGGGTGGCTCCTTTATTCCTCTGGTCTTCCCTCTGCCCTAGCCTGCTCCATCCCTTCCTCCAGACGGGTGGGATGGGGTTAGACTGGGATTGGACCCTGCTAATGAAGCTGATGCCTGGCTGGATAGTGTTCCCCAGGGCTGGGAGATGCCCTGGCTCCACAGGGCCCTGATTTTATGGGAGTGCTGGGGGGCACAGTGCAGCACTGAGCTGCTCCAGGTGCTGGACAGTGTCCCCCATCCTCGGCCACAGGCATGGGAAGCAGCAGCACTCCTGGGCTGGGGCCCCACTGGGGATTGTGCCATTGCTCACAGCAGCCCAGCCCGGTGCTCAGTGTCCCCACTGGCACAACCAAGGGACAAATCCTGCTCTCCTGGGGCTGCGAGGGCAGCTGGACCTCCAGACTGACAACCCTTCTTGGGACCATGCCATCCCAGCACTCAGCACCCTCACGGACCAAATCCTGCCATCCTCGGGCTCACAGAGAGGCTCAAAGATCTTCTCTCCCAGCTGGATGTGGGCACAGGAATTTGGGGGGACCATGTCTGTATTTAGTCTAGGACAGGGACAGGCACAGTGAGTGCAAGCCTAGGCAAGGGATGCTGCTGCATCCTGTGTCCCCAAACTGAGATGTGCTGGAAGCAGCGCTGCAAACCCTCCCAGCCATCAGCAGGGCGTGACCGAGGGGTGCTGAGCCCCCTCCCAGCCATCACCAGGGCATGACCGAGGGGTGCTGAGCCCAGGCGTGCCAGTCTGTCCATCCCTGCCGCGCTGCGTGTCCCAGGCACAGAGGGCTCTGTCGGGATATGTACCGTGTGAGTGCTCCAATCGCTGTCCAGCCGCAGGCAGCTTTGCCATTGGGGATTGCCGGGGTGTGAACTCCCCGTCCCCG